AAAAAAAAAGGGAAAAGAAAGAAAGAAAAAAAATAGAAATTTTTTGTCAACGTGTTAGGAATTAAGTGGTCTACATTATTAGGTTTGAATTCCTCAATTTTGAAAGATAAGTAAAAAGTTACTTATTGTCAAGTTATGTTTGATTTTATAATTGTTAAATTGTTAGATTAAATTTAATTTTATTAAAGAGGTTAAGTATAATAAACTGTGAAATTGAGTAAAGTGAAAGAAAAACTAGTTTTAGTGATTAAAGAGACTGTAGAAATCGCTTAAACGTGAAATTGTTAAGTTTGGGTATTGCCTATTTAATTATTGAAATTATTTAAAATAATTAATTGTTTATTTAAAAATTATATCGTATTTCAGGCGACGATACTAACATTAGAACAGCTTACCAACTGGAGTGATTTTGCGAACATAGTACTGGGAGTGGAAAATATAAATATTTTTAAAGTATTTATAAATTAAGTTTATTGTTAAAGTATGTTCAATTATATGCAATTATGTATTCAAATTACACGGTTATTATGGAAATATCTTTTATTATGATCCATGTGGATTTTAAAGATTGTATACGGTACATTGTGAATTGGAATATGAGGTATGATTTTGAGATCGACCAGAAAAGTACCCGTAATTATATATTTCTTTTAGTTCACTGAGGGGCCTTGGCCGTGTTCTATGTTACACTGAGGGGTCTTGGACTGGAGATGAAGGGATCTTAACCGTGTACATATAGTTCACTGAGTGGGCCTTGGTCATGTTCTAGAATTGATTATCAGAGGTCTTTGAGATCGACTTTCTTTCACGGAAGAGCCAAAGGCTCGTGGCGAAAGTTCTTAGCCCGAGAGGCGGATTACAGATTTTAGTCAAATGATACATTTTTGGTGAATCACATGTGATGTGATGAGATGATGGTATAGATATCAGCTGATTACTATATCGTAGATGTGAGATGATATTTTACGACCTTATGTTAATATTTTACTTTTGGTTATAATTACATGATGTAATCTTGTAAATTATTAAATGATATATTCCATTTTCAATAGAAATGTAAAATTGAAAAAGTATAATTATTTTCGAACTTCTCCACTCGTTGAGCTATCAACTCATATATTTTCCCACGATTTTTCCTACAGGTAGAAATTGATCATTTTTAGCTGGAAGAGCCTAATGATTTTGAAATAAGAGTCACACGACATGTTGAGTGTTATAAACTCATATTGATGAGGTATAAAGTAAATAATTTGGGTCCATCTCATTATATTTTACATAACATTTGATTTTGGCGCATTTTTTGAAATAACTCATAGTTAGCTTGGTGATAAATTTGACATCTAGTCAGCATCTATTATCGGCGCACGTCACGTTTCGGGTCCACTAGGATGATTTGGGATGGAGCGTGTCATGCATCATATTTGATAAACAAGTGCCCCACAAAATCCTTGAATTATGACACTCCTGATCATGTTTGGAGTGGTCACCTGTTGATTACTCAAAACTGAAAGTTTTTAGTTGTGCAGCTTATATACACCAAAATGAGGGTAAACTTGAACCTAGACCAATTAAAGGCATTTTCTTAGGATATGGTAAGGGTGTAAAAGGTTATAGAATCTGGGTTATGGATAAGGGAGGTTACAGAGTCATAATCAGCGGAAATGTAATTTTTAATGAAATGGACATGCCCTGTACTAAAGAAAAAGCACTTGCAGCCCCTCAAATAAGTGAAAATGATTCATATCTTCAATCTGAAATCTCTCCACCCATCTCAGATCTTGAAACTAATGACCAGATTGAGGTGGAAACTCATGAACAGGAAATAGCCCCTGAACCTGAATTTGAACATGAGATTGATCCTGAACTTGTTCCACCAATAAATCCCTTAGAAGACTATCAACTTGCTAGAGATAAATGAAGGAGGGAGATAAGACCAACTGTGAGATATAATGAATTAGATTTTGTCACTGCCCTAAAGTTTGATACTTTTATAAAAGGTCTTGACTTTAATAGGAGTGAATATGATCATTGCTTCTATTATAAAGGTGGTGGAGGTCCTGATTCTTATTATCTTTTGCTTTATGTTGATGATATGTTATTTGTTGGGTGTGATGTAACAGAAATAAACAATATTAAGCAAAAATTAAAACAAGAGTTTGAAATGAAAGACCTATGATCAGCTAAAAGAATTTTAGGAATGGAAATTAGG